CATATAATGTATGTAAGCATGTCAATTCCTTTATGTCACTTGCTCAGTTTTAGATGCAAAAATAGTTCTGGGAGGCTGTGAGTTCAGTCAAAACATGACTCCTGACCCTTTTTCAATTGTACCCATGATGCTGTATGTCTGAGGTCAATGACCTTTGCAAGGGCAGGCTGGGTGGTGATATCACAGAGACTCAGCAACTTCTCTGAATGGGCAGAGTGAATGACCAAGGATCGTGAAAACCTCAAATCCTACATAATGCATGCATCTTTTCTACTTCCTTACAAATACACTTAAAAATAGGTGTAATGCAATATTTATTACCACATCATGACTTAGTTGATTAATTTTAGAGCCACCTCTAACAATTAAAAGACAAGAATAATACCAAAAATGTTTGTCAAATACATATTATACTAAGTAATATTTTCAAAAGACAAGGCAACGTGACTGAATTTATCAGAAGAGTGGTGGCATCTTAACATTTGAGATTTGTCAAAACTTGCCACTAATGTTAGTACATAGGGCTGCCAGAAATTATAATTGTTACACACTTTATTATTATTAGTGTTCTGTCTGACGACAGGTCCATATGAACAGGATCCTTCCATCCTTTTCTCGGACTGGGACCTGTTCATATACGTTCTTGGCAGATGATCCAGAAGTGGTTTGCCATTGCCTTCTTCTGTGTGTGAATGGAGTAATTGTTGGGATGCCACGGAGGAAAACTCCGTGTTGCCTAGACCACGGTCTTGCCCAACACAAGTTATAAATTCGGGCACCGCCGGGAATCGAACCCGAGACCCCAGGATTACAAGGCCAGCGTTCTAACTGCTAGACCACGATATAAATCTTATATACAGTTTAACAGAAAATCAGACAAGTCTATACCAACCCAAGTTTTGAAATATTATCTTAATTTTCAGTTGCAGTTCCAATGGTATAATTTTTCAAGGGATTCACCTTTATCATACCTAACCAATTACATGACATAATGTTTATTTACTGTCACTAGCAGATCAAACACAAATCAGAGATGTAACCGTCCTTCCACACTCGACTCGCTGTTTGCTTGTTGAAGCCACAGGTCAGACCCAGTGACGTGCCAGGCACTCATACGGTTACAACTTTTAGTACTTATGATAAGTGTGAAAGGGATTTAAGGAAATTCTGATGATGGGCATGGGTTTTGTCGGTGAGCATGGGCCTCCGATTCCCAGGGAATATACGGAGAAGGCAGTGGTGGGGTTGATGTTTTGCTGAGGATGCGAAATCTCTGGAGTAACTATAGACGACTAAAGACGCCACTGGTGAGCTGAGAGACGTTAACTTTATTGCCTCTTGAGACACTTTGAAGTGTAACCAGCTACAATTAATGCAAGGCAGTGCGATGATTCGGCTGTTATATAAAAAATCTGAAGTACATGTAGAACGGTCTGCATTACCTGAAGACCAAAACTTAAGAGAGAGCCTTGCAACAACACAATCGTTCTTTAAATACGGCGATCTGATTCGTTCCGCCAAAATCACCCCATAACGGCGGGAACACGCCTATAAGCCATATTCAAATTCCACCAGTCAGTCGCAGTGAGGCAATAGTTTCAATGCAATCGTCACTCCACATCTGGAAAGGCTTAAGAGTATGTTGCGTAACAACTTAAACGATTGCACAATCTTTGTTTATTTCATGTTCCCTCTGGACGGAAAGTCAAGCGACTGAGTATGGCCACTTTCTTCCAATTTAATATGTTTAACAAGGCTAAAATTAATAAAATTTGGATGAAGTAAGGCGTACCAAATATCATCTAATCACGCCTCCTTCGCTTACATAAACCAGATTAACATGCCAAAGCCTGGTTTACCCCTCATCTCAGGTTCAGCCCATTCGGGAATCGAACTATGAACTTGGACTGGCACAGAACAGAGCCAAACATAATGAAACAGAAGTAAATTAATTTGTTCTTACCTGGAAAGTTTGCTACATTTGACTGTTCTTTTAAATCCCATATTTTGACTTGTGAATCAGAAGTTCCTGTACCAAAGATGAGACCATCTGGATGAAACTGGGCTGTTGTCAATGCAATACCACTTGAACCTGAACCTTGATCAGCAACCTATATTATCAATTTAAATGCAATTAAGTACAACAGCAACATCTACGTTTATGTAACAAACATATAATACTGTTAAGACTGTAAAGTACCTTCGTGAGCAGACGTCCACTTCTTATGTCAGAAAAAGCCCAGTGCTGATCAGTTGATGTTGAAAGAACATAATCCCCTGTTGGATGGAGCGACAAGCCTGTAACTGGGCCTTCATGTGCTCGAAGCATTTGAGTTGTCTGTGATGTTGGAACATTCCACACCCGAATGGTTGTATCTGGAGATGCTGTTATCACTAAATCCTGTTAAAAGACAAAATATTATATCTTAGTTATTAAAGATATTTTATAAAAGATTCTTTACTTAGGGGTTCCTCACATATTATATTTTAAATATTTATTTTTCAAGAAAATACATTGCAAAAAGTTAAAGATTACCTCATCAGGATGATAAATGACACGTGTAACTTTCTTGGTGTGACCCTTCAGAATAGCCACCACCTGTTCAGTATCCTTATTGAAAACTGTGGCATTGCGATCATTTCCTCCAGTCAATATTTTGCTCGTATCTGCACCATGGATATCAAGAGACAGAATACCTGGGATACTAGCACTATGAAGACCCTGCAAAAAAAGCCATTTTATGAGAAAGCCAAGTGGTCTCATTGGCTCTGTTACCAATCAGATTTGTTCACAAAACCCCTTTCTCTCTAATATTTCTGAGGAAATTGTAAGAATAGACAATAAAAGACCAACATCGGCGAACACCAAATATAAAGATAAAACTGCATTAATAGTTTTCCTCAATGTTACAGGTGATGCTAGACTTCAAATCGTACTGTATAACAACTCTGATCCACATAAATTTATTCAGAAAACACTGAGGTCAAAATAAAGGATAAAGTACCTAGAAATCAATGAAAAGAGCATACAACAGAAAATAACAAAATACTATTCCAGTAAGAATAATGTGCGAGTTATATATAGCAACTGGTATGTGGAAGAAGGCCATTAAGTTAAGGAAAATTAACATCTCCTAAATATATGCTACAAAAAAAAATTGTATCCCCAAAATTGTGGATGAAACTCCCCACCCCCAATATGCATGGACAACTTAGATAAGACAGCTGTCTTCAGCAATGTTGTGAAACAGCCTGGTAGATAAAACATTTCAGAGGAGCTCACTGCATCTGTAATCAAAGTAATGAGTAAGCCACGCCAGTCAACGAACCAAAAAGACTTGATAGTGGAGACAGTGAAGCTCCTCTGAAACACTGATAAAAATCAACCAGACTACATAAGCCATCTTCATAACAGCTGTGGTAGAAACCTGAAATATCACATGGACAGTCTATTATTCCATAATACTAATTCACATATCTAGTGGTATTTAAAATTTATTTATGAAATACACGCTGTAATGAAATACAGTAACACCTGACTAGCAAAACCAGGGGACCTCTGACATATGTTAGTTCTTAACAGACAAGTAGTGTGGTCCATCTTTGTAAGACTTGGAATTTTTTCTTCATAACATGAAAAATCTATTACACAGGGTCAAAAATGAAAGAATTGAATAAATAGTGTCTTATCTTTGGATCCTTCCTGCATTAAGTGTTCTATGTCTTTCACAGTACTCTGAAAATGGTGTTTTACTTATACATACAGGATGTGAAGCAAGCGTGTGGAAAGTGCGTATGGAATCATGCGAGATTAGGTCCTCTGGTACGGTCCTCCCCCTCTTCTTTCGTTCTTGAGTCAAAACAGTTGCTTTATCCTGTAGCTTCTGAATAACTTCAGCTGTCATGCCTGCCTGCTCTGTTGGTTGGTTTGCTATACCACCTGCTTCCACAGCAATTGCCTGAAACACATCGTATGTTCAATTAGTATGCCACCACTCCTTGAATACCGCAGCAATTCATACACAATGACGAAAGTTATTGCTGCTTGTTCTCATTACTGTTATTGTTTAATTCATAGGGCATTTAACTTACTGGTTGTGGGATTCCTGCAGGATTTGTAGTCATTCCAGCCTGCGGTTTAAGCGTTGCAAGAGCCTCACGAGCAGCAGTTACCTCTTTAGTGAGTCGAGCAATTACACGACAGGCAGCGTCGTGCTGATACAAAGCATGACTGTTACAGAAAAGAAACATAATTTTCTTACTTAGAATACAGCTTACATGTGTGTCATACTTTTATATAAGTCACAATTATCTTCTTTACTGGAGTATAAACCAACTGATGACTTTTTTTTTTCTCCCAACAAATAAAAAGAAAAAAGGAGTTGATCAAGGTTAATTACACCATTACTTAATTTGCAAATGAACTACAATTTCTTACATTTTGAAACTGAATCCCAGCACTTACCACTCCAGTAACTATGGTACAATTCAGAGCTCTCGACAGGAAGTGAGGAGATTAGAAATTTTATGTGATAGTAACAACAGGAATTGTTAAGACACTAGTGACATAGTAAGAAAAAAATTTGGCTGTCACAGTAGTGAGAAGTCAGTTTTCTTCAAAATCAGATGAAAGTAAGATGTCAGTGATGTGATTAAAGATAAATATGACCTATGAGATGAGACGTGACACTTTTATTATTACTATTCTAAATTTGGTATTAATCTCATATTCACAAATGAGGCAAAATGGGTAAAAAAATTAAATAATATTGAATGTTTCTAGGAAACAGATGTCTAGTAACAATGTCATACATCGCACAGAAACCTATTTCTAAAGCAGAGACTTTTGTTTCTAGTAGTGCCATACTTGCATGAAATTTGTCAAGTTCTACATCAAAACAAGATTCAACAAATTTGTCTTTTGTGAATTTGCTCCCTTCTAACTGATCCTTCAATTATAACATACTATGTACCTCAATTCTTGTCTTGCAGTCTGCAGTTGCTGACGCTGAGTAAAACTATGTAACATTACAGCATCCCATTCATCCTGAAGTGTTTTTAAAATAGCAGGAATACTTGTTGCTGATGGAGGCTTTGGTTTGACCACGGGTGTCGCTGAAACATTTAAGTATATCATCAACATCTTTCTTTTAGTAAATAGTTGTTAAATTCTCTGGACATCAGGTATATAACAGGATGATTTTGATATAGCATTTTAGCTTCTATTAGTGTATTTATTAACAAAAAATAATACTTGTGAAGAAAACTTTATTAAACACTCTTATAAATAAAATGCATGACACAGCTCTTGATTACTAAAAGATCCTATTACTAACTTTTAACATCAATGAGCATATCAGCTGCAAGTTCCTTGCCATTGATGGGGTCTACCCCATTCTCTACCAAGTACTTTTCAATTAAACGCCTTTCAAATATGGCTCCAGACACTGGAGATATGACAGGATGTTCTGGAACTTCATTGGAAACTGAAATAAGAGAATATCAGGCTTAACATTTATAACATTCAGATATATGATAAAGATAGAGCCACTTCAATAACAGCAGCAGCAGTAGCAATAGTAACAATAGTTGTATTAATAGTAGTAAGTGCATATCAATGCAGTAAAGTTTATACATATGCAATGGAATAATAAAAGAAAAAAAACTGTAATGACAATAATGATAACTACAGCATCCCTTACTAGCAGCTCACAAGGTCTGAAAATTCCCTCAGATGAAAGTAAGGGTTTCAAGAAATTAACTTTCTTCATAGATTTAATAGTATTATAAGAATTATACAGCATTGGTACTTGAATTATAAGGTGCAGAGGAGAGCAAATTTAATTATTTTTAGGTACTGAATCATAACCAGAATGATTCAGTCAAATAATCAGGGGGAAAGTGGGAATATTAGAATTATTTCCGCTACTACACACGTTGATATGATACCAAGAGCAAAATTATGTGACATGTCACCACAGCATATACAGGATTTATACATAAATTATCTTTGCAACTTTACTGAAAATAAAACCTTTATGAAAAGACACAGACACAATGTTTGAGCATCATTTGTGAGAGAAACTCTCAACATTTCACCAAGTTCCCAGTAGATGGTAGCACCCATTGTTTTCCACTGCACTGTATCCATCTTTGCGAATCAAGTCAGTCGCCATGAACCAGGAGGAAAAGGCACAGTGTGTGGAATGGTTTATCAAAATGAAATTGGATACACAGGTCCAAAGATGTTTCAGAACAATACAAACAATTTATAGCTACATTCCATGTTTCAGGATAGGTAAACAAACAAAACATATTCATCTTGAGATTAGAACACCCAGGAAAGTGTCAGCTTTCAATAAAACAATACAGTGTTACTTCATAATACCGCACGTGAAGACAGTCTATGGGTAGAATAAGGATGAAGGATAGTTTATGGGCACATCAGCTACTCTGGTTATTAGCAATATGAATGAAGGAGATATCAGGGAGAAGAATTACAAGATGCATTCATGTTGACTGCATAGAAATATCACTGTTATCAACTACATACAAAATTTTATCCAACAGACTTCTATCAAGGGTAAATGAAATTATTGGGGATCATCAGTGTGGATTTTGATGTAATACATCAACTACTGACAGAAATTCTGCATTCCTCAGATACCGAAGAAAAAATGGCAGTCAATAGGACTCTACAACGGTTATTAAAAGATTCCAAGGAAGTGTGTGAATTCAATATACCAATGAAATTAGGCTAATTCAAATATAACAAAGCATGCATAAGTAAACATTTGTCCCATACATTTCCGTTTTAAAATGGTCTGAAACAAGGAGATGCTTCATCACCACTGCTTCTAAACTTTATTTTAGAACATACAATCTGGAAGATCCAAGAAAACAAGGGAGGGCTAGATTAGAATTGAATGAGACACACCAGCTTCTGTTCTATGCTGATGATAGTAATTTACTGAATCAAAACATTAATATCATAAAGGAAAACATGGAAGCTCAACAAGATGTGGGTATAGAAGTTGGTCAAGAAGTAAATGTAGAGAAAACTATGTGTGTGTCCACAACTCCATCACCAGACTGCAGGCCACAGTTATAAAGGTAGCTAATAAATCCCTTATAACTGTGGCAAAGTCCAGTTATTTGGGAATGGCATTAACAAATCAGAATTGAATTCATAATGAAATTAAGAGCAGACTAAATGCAGAGAATACTTGCTGCCAACAGTTCAGAACTTGTTCTTTCATGTTAACACAAACTGAGTATATTTGAACCCAGGAGAGATGAAGTAAGAGGAAGCTGGAGAAAACTGCATAATGCAGGGCTACATAATTTGTATTCTCCACTAAACAGAAACAATGATCAAATCGAGAATGATATGGGCAAGGCACTCAGCAAGCATGGGAAAAATGAGACATATATGCAAAATTTTGGTTGGAAAGCCTGAAGATAAGAGAGCTACTGAAAACCTTGGTGTGGATGGGAGGATATTTTTAAACTGATTTCATGGAAGACTGAATTCATTTGGCTCTGGATAGGGACCACAAGTGGGCTCTTGCGAACACAATAATGAACCTCCGGGGTTCAATAAAATGCGAGGTAGTTCTGGGCGTACATGAGCTTCTTAATGAGGACTGCATTATGGAGTTCATTACATGTACTTTAGAATTATGATCCCCTGTGCAAACATCCTGTGTGAAGTGATAAGCTAGAAATTCGTGAATTGGAAGCCGATTTCTTTTTAGAAGAGAAATACCGACTGAAGGTTTTTCCAACGCTAAATTAATAATAATCACAAGATCTACAAACTTATAACGTAAATAATCTTCCTAAATATAAAGTTGCCTATTTTAACAAAATAGTATCAAATGTTAATAAAACTACGTCAACAGTTTACATTAATGCTAAAAACATGCAACATTCCACACTTAATAAGCATCTATACAACGCTTATACGGCGGAAAATGAAGTTGAGGCCTATTCTCCTTACAATGTGCCGGTCGCAAGCAACCCTACACGTTAAAGTTAATAATATACAGGAATAGTATCATTTTAAAAACAGAATCTCTCTTTTACGCAATTAAATGATTAATATGTGTGACATTAAACTGTAGATATTACTTAATTCTATCCTTCAATCTGAAACAAATGCTAATAGATACCCACTAGCACAACACAGCGCCATTTTTACTATGGAACTACGATAATCAAAATAAGGAAAATATATTTAAAATTACAATAGATAATGACAATTTTAACGAATATCAGTATACTTTTTTTTATTAATTTCTTACAATGAGAGCTTAAAATATGGGAATACGAATTCATATGCTAGAAGATGATTTATCTTGCTGAATTCGAGGAGTCAATTTAGGCTGTGATTTAGGCCCTTGATAACCTACAATAGGTGAATGAGGCACATACAATATGGCTCCTCAGTGGTTAGAATATGTGTTTCTTATATTCATTTTAATGGTCTATGAAACACAAGGAGATAATCATGAAAGAAATATTTTTGCAGCTCGAGTAGAAGTAAGTGCGGTCTCACTTAGTTTCAGAAACATTTTTGTATTAATGTATATGTGGTAGTTTTTTATTCTCAAAAATGTGTCAGTTATGACAATGTCTACTTATTATGTTAACTTATATATGACATCTTTATACACAACAAAGATAAATTTGTTACCTGCATTAATTTCTAATGAGTATATGAAATGTTTGCACCGTTGTGTTCGTAATGTAATTATTGTTATGAATGGTGAAGTTTATTGACATACTGTCCTCGAATATTTCCGTATGTTTCAAGGATGACCCATTCATAAAGTATTACAAGTGAAGCTGCTTCATATGCTAATGCTGTTACATTGTTTAGGCAGGCAATATATACATGCAAGGTAGTTTTTTATTTTTCATTACACCACCAAAAATTTGACGTGTTTTTTTTGTACTGCCTCAAAATTTCTAATAAACGTTGGGAATATGCAGTTCTCAATAGCCTATCTTGTAAAAAATTGGTACATGTTTCCAAATGAATATTATTGTCGTCATAGTGGAAATAGGCTTCTTATATTTTGTTTTAGTATACAGAAATATTGTATTATTTCTTTACTCATGAGAATGAGAGATTCCAGTTACTTAAATATTTATAAGAAATGTTACATTATATTAATGATGTATATATGAGAGTTTCTGTAAAACGTTATGATATGTACTGCCAGGCACGTGTCATGTAGTCATTTATGTGCATTTATTAAAGCCCAACATAAATCTGATACAAACTAACTACAGTAAATTAAGGTAATTAATCATAATGTTACCAAATTTGGATATCATAGAATTTTGAAGTACATCAGGCAGATGTATTTAATTTTGCTAATAAAGCTGTATACATCTGATGGTAAATAGTGTATATCAAAAAATATATCAAGGAAATTTAACTGGTCACCAAGTTGAGAGATACATATATTTTATTTTTGGATGTCACATATTTAATTAGTAGAATGGTAACTGTCATATGTTTTTAAAATCTTAAGGATAACAGCTTGTGCTGCTCTACTCTGTCAGTGCTGCAGTAATTAGAGGGATCATAGGATCAAACATAGGTTTTAATTATAAGTTATTTTTACATGGAATTCTTTAATGGAAAGGAATTGATTAGTAGATAGCTTGCAAAAACACACACATCTAAATTAAGATTGTTCCGCGTTATAATTTCTAACAAGCAGTGAAATGCTAGTATATTGCAGAAAAATAATGTAGCACCAAGTTATTACAGTATCATAAGTATTAAAAGTAGTTTCATGTAATAAATAACATTTGTTAAAATTATTAGCCATTCTTACAAAACAGATTCCTTCATCAACTGTTAAAGAGTTTGAGAGTTTTACCACAAATTGTGTTTGCTTCTTAATGATAACTTTTATGTATAAATTTGCTGAGTTATGCCTGGAGAATTCAGATATGGCTGCCTCTCCCTATTTAATCGTTTGGACTGATGAATATGTAAGTTTTATAAGAATAAAACATTTTATGTCCATTAAAAGTGGTTGTCTATGTTAGTAAATGATCATGGTCATTTTCCAGAACCACATGTCCAATGTTACATGATGCTGGAATCTGTTTGTGAATCTCCTAAAAATAAAAGTGGAACAGTCACAAATAATAATTTCTTTCTGAAGTTTTATGTTTCATATTTTTGCAGTGAAGAATGTGGAATTAGCTTGCATGGAATCATGTTGTACTTCTGTGTATTTGCAAGAAAATTTGGTGATTATCGAATATAATAATTTGTAATACATTTCAGAGTTGTAGTGGATGCCGTTTGAATCGTCTACCCGAGGTGAAGAAGTTTATTTTTGAAGATGTTCCTCTGTAGTATCCTTAATGTGATGACAGTGAAGACCATTGCTTCAGCTTTGTTAACATGAAATGGCACACATAACTAAGAAACCTTCAAGAGGACCCATTCTAAGAATGGTCCCTGGTGATTACACAGGCATTCCATTATCGTTAAGGAAAAGATGTTCTCTTAGGCTAATAGTAGATGGAATTGATGTAACACCGAAACCCCTTTTCTGTGAGACACAAGAATTATCTGAAGATGTACAAGAAGTCATTCAAACATCTACCACATCACTTCACACTTCAGAAACTCCTGGAACAACTTCAAGTTTACATTTAACAAAAGTTGCACCTGTTGAACTTATAACAATACAGCAACCTTTTACAGAGTCAGAAATGAAGAATTTTGTTCTTTTTGATGATAGTGAAACATCAGAAGCATCAGCTGAAATTCCTCCACTCCCATCAAATCTGTTGTATCTCTTGCAGCCTCAGGGGCACGAAATTCCTGAACCTCCACCACCGCCACCTTCTAACATTCTCACCACTCTCAAAGAAACACCCACTATTTTCCACTTGAATCTGCCAGCCTTGAATGTTGATGTGGAAACTGAAGAAGGTGAAGAGATAGAGTCTGATAATGAGTATTATGAATATATTACAATTGGGAAAGGTCGTCACAGGAATACCAAAACGGCTGAGGTTCAAACTGAATACAGTTTTAGAAAAACAAAATCCACAATGACACCATATGTTAGGGTTGCAGATAGCCCTGCTAGTGCTAATGCTTGGAATTTGTATCATTCTTACAAGAAAGTGGAAAATGATTGAAATCACTTGACACATTATAAAAATGCATGAGTAATCTTGTAATAATCTTAATATAGACTTCTGACAAGTTCTCATGGCAGTAAGTATGAATATGGTTGTCTCCTGGTTTGTTGTACCATATGTTCTGGTAGAGAGTTTACCAGTGCTTCTGAAGACAGCCATTTTCTTAAAACAGACTTACTGAAATGTGTCATTTGCAGTAGCTTACCATTGTTTTTGTATGCGTGTGTGTTGGGTCAAACATGATTAATATTAATTGTTGTTCTTAACTTTAGTTCAGTGAATTTGTAGAATTCCAACATATTCAAGGTGCCTCCCCAGAGCTTGTTTTGATAGACTTATATGATAAGGTAAGCTACAAATTAACTTCAAACTATGATGTATAATACAATATTGTTGAAGATAAAAAAATCATTTTTGCTGAAGTTACTAATTATGTTGTAGTACATGTGGCTTTGTTTGCATGTTACAAGGAACTGGAACGCATTGATCTGGCTCCATTGTCTCGTCAGGACTGCAATGACCTCCTAATTAAGAAAGGTTTCCTCAAAAAGAAGCCAGACAATGAGGTGCACCCTAACTTGCAGCATGAAGACTTTTGACAAGCACATTCATTTACTAAGAGTATTTTCTGTGTTGTTGGATCCTTATATTAACATGGCTTTCACCTTCTGTTATCACATTCGTTGTTGACAAAATTCTTTTCCTTGTCTTTTGTTTTATCAGACACTAAAAGCGGTTGTTTCATTCACCTGTTATCCTGGCAACAGTGAGGTGTATTTGAACAGTTATGACTATCTTATTGAGTCTATGAACAAAATAGGTGTCTAACTAAACATTTAATTCTTGTGTTATTAGATATACTAGAAGTGGTATTATGATAGACACAAAACACACAGAATTTGGCAGCAGTGCCAAGGCAGTAGTACACTACTGTCATCTTCTGGCAAACACTATAATGTTTTAGTGAATAAAAGTATTTCACTGAGCATAAGGTCTTGGTTAGAAAAATATAGTAATGATCCATGAATGACTTATCAAATAGATCGCAAGTCTGCAGTTTTAAACATTTTTCCTGTTTTGGATTATTGATTTGTATTTTACATTATATGTTAAGTATGTATCTTGCAAAGCCAGTTTTGAACATTGATCACATATTGTATAAAAATGATACACATTGATGAAATTTGAATATTCACATTAATGTACAGCTGTCACATAATGACATGTTTACAAATGTAATTTTGTCTTGTGCCTAGAAAAATAAAAAACACAATAGTATAGCATCAGAAGTTGCTGGGTGCACAGGTTACACAGTGTCAAAGCTGTGCCAAAGCTATGTAGTGAGCTTCTGACAGCATCATTAAGTAAATCATATGCTGTGTATCCACCACCTTCATAAGAAGACAGCTGTGAAGCATACACATTCTAAAAGTCGTATTAAAGTATACATAATTCAAAATATATAAAAATGAATTCTTTCACATACTAAAATGAAATAAAGAATTTTCTTGTCAGTGTTAAGAGTCATGATTTTGACCTTATTGTAAGTACCTGCAGTGTATGATCATGTTATACCTGTGAAAGCATTATGTTTACACAAGAGTATTTCCCACACAAGATTCAAGTTTAGTTAAGTGGGATTGCAACTGATTGAGGTATACAGTAAGTTAGTATAGATGTATGTACAAACTTTTGTTGATTCTTGAATAATTAGAAGTAATTAATTATAGAAACCTATCAGCAGGAGTTGTGTAAAATATCACCAGGATGTATGACATACTGTTTTTTTGTATCTAATCCCATGTGCACATTTATGGGCTGTGAATACTCTTTCTGATTCAGTGGGTTCTGCTGTGTTTTATAAAGGCATGTTACATGTCGTTAATCAGTGATCTGTATGACGAGGAGTTGTGCCTTAGAACTGGGATGTGCACAGTAACACTTCAGTCTGCAGTGGCAGTGGGTGAGGAAAGCCAGGCATCTGACCCTCCCCTCACCCAGAATTTTGAAAAGATTGAGCTTGGGGAAAAAAATATCAGTACACAAAATATTAATAAAAATGTTCTTCTGTAATGAAAAAAAATAAAAGCATTTAACTAATAGCTGAATGTATAAAGTGAAGCTTTCACAGCGACTTAAGTTAATGAAAGATTCTCGGGTTACAAGCCGCGTTAGGTGGCTGAATGGTGAATAAACCATATATTCTGCCAATGTTTTGACAACAATCTCTACTGTCATCCTCTGGGCTGCTGAGTTCCCATCAGTGAATGCAATACAAGGATCAGGTTTTAGCTACCTGATGCAGCTTGTAACCCAGAGTCTTTCATTAATAGCTAAGTGTAAGTTTGTAAACACATTTTCTGGCTATCCCCATACCCCAAAAAAAAAATTTGGTGGGGTCTGTGCCAGTATCAATGGCAGGTCAGCAGATAATCCCTCTCAAGAACCCTCCATTTTTTACTACTTCTACATTTTCTGTTATGTGGAAGTAACTTTAAGGTCACGCGACAGTTTTTGCTGCACATTTTATAACAATTTGAAGTTGTTATATGTTGGGTGCAGGACACTGAATTTGTTACCTGTGATGAATGCAGCAAATATAAACAAATGTTACTGATAATTTGCCACTGATATTAGACATGTAATTTCATGACATTTAACAATCAGTAATGCACAATAACTTATTAAAATTTAGTCCAAAGTGTCTGGAATGGAATGGTACAAGACAGTAAAGCACACTGCCAGTTTTTGAGATGAGTTAAAGAGTATAATTATGATTAGTCAAAACATTTCTCATGTCTTAATTTTCAAAACTTCAAATAACTACTACTACATTTTGAGCACTATTTAATATTTTGTAACATTCAATCATATTCTGTAACTCACTGCCTATGTAATATGCATTTTACCACAAATTCCATCCATAATTAGCTGCATGGGACATTTCTGGTGTCTTCAAGACTAATACATTTTTAGAAAAATTTCGGTGTGATTTCTCTTTTATAACATCTTTTGGTTTTTATTTTACAATGAAAACCACATTATCGCTGTATTATAAATGTTTGTGTGTGTATCTGCGTGATTGATTGATTAGGATATTATTACTTATGGCATGTAAATATTCTGTGTAATCTGTTATTGAAGCCTGCAATTCCTGTCAATGTCAAAATGAATATAATACAAAGTGCAGTATATAAGGGGGTTTGTTTGTATGCTGAAACACATGTACTTGCTGCTAGGGAATATAAAGTTATGAGCTCAGGCTTTTTCCTTATGCTGGGAGTTAAAATTATATGTGATACATACTTTTCTTGTAACTGTTAATTTTTTTATTGTTCAGTGTAGCAGTATCTGTTTTAAAACAGCTGTTTTACCATTCTTTAACCTCTTTATCTGTATGCCTATTTCAGGATAATGTTGATCTGTATTTTAAGTATGTGTGAGATGGCAACCTGTAACAGTGGTTAACTTCTGAACTTACATTCCCATTTACTTTGTGTAATTTTGTAAAAAATATTTAGCCATCACTTGTGCTTTGATGTGTATAAAATTACCAATTGTTAAGTTCTTCTAGAGAAACTATTTCTATTTTCTGTGCTGCTACTTTATTATTTTCTTAGTTTTCTTCTAAATACAAACTGTCACCTAGTTAACAAGAACATTGTCTAGTCAACACATAATAGAAGAAAACCCTGCACAGTGTGATTTTGAGTATTGTTTAGTTCATGATTATAAATGGAAAGCAAGCCCAAATGCTCCTCCATGAAAGCTACAAGCTGTGATACAACAATATACAGTAACATACATTAAACCTCAATATTACTGTATCTTAATCTCATCTCTGAACTCAGTGTGTAGCAGAACAGAATAACTTTTTGTTTACCCTAGCCTGAAATTTTCATTGCTGACCAATCCTTTGACTGTTATATTTCTTCATGTATAATTCCTGTCATACATTATAAAGCTTCCACATTTTGTGACTTAGACATGCATATATGTGGTCAATGTTTGGAATTACATGAGCACATGTTGTGACTGACTGTAGAACACTTCTGTTGAAAAAAGTAATGTGTGATTTTGCAATAATGTAATCTTCTGTGATTGTTAATGTAATGTACTTAGAAATAAATAAATGCACATACTAGTCTCATTGTATTTAGTGAGTTGATAACCCAATACCAGTGGCAACCTGAGAAACCAGTCAGTATGAACAGAGGTACAAGGGAGGAGATATAACAGACTCATAGTTAGACGACTGAGGACACTCCACCAACCAAGAAATTCTATCACAGTAAATCCAGAAACAATTAAACCAACAAATCACTACCAAAGCATATCAACAATAACAACAAATTATCAGTGACAACATTCTGCACGAGTGAATATACAGACTATAGAAGATGCAAATATATTGCAGACGACATGTAAATCACAAACATAACTGTAACTTATGTGTTTTACAATTTGAATGAACCGCGAACAACAGTAGAATCAAATATCATAACTTTCATCTGAGTTGTGATCAAGCACACTTACTGAACCCTGTTCTGCATTGTGACATAAAAAAATATAAGTTATTTATACACCCTTTTGGTATAGTTATCCCCAATTAGAATCCATTTTGTTATCTCCCATCTGTGCATAAGTCTCCCAAATTCCCTTCCCCTTTAGGTTCATGATTAAAATTGTTCATGCACTTCTCATAGCTCCTATATGTGCTACATGGGTCATCATGTCTTTAATTTCATGATTAATAATATTTGGAAAAAGGTACATGCCAACTATAGCTCTTCATTATGCAATTTATTTCCTATTCTCCTCTTTCTTGGGTCAAAATATTCTCTTCCACACCATATGAAGATTTATATTTCTTCCTTCCATGACATGAAAGCACCATCTGAAACACTTTCATTACAGTTCACTGTTCTCGGTTGCAATTTCGGAGTACAGCAGAAGATACAGTCCATATCTGTATAAAAAGAAAACATCCAGGCATTTACTGTTCAGTATAACCACAACAGAAAAAGTAAAGTCATTGATGAAAAGTTTATTATAGCAAAAAAAAATTGGTACCATCAGTTAATGTTACATGCCTGGAAAATACATATGCGTTGACAGCTTTTCTATGCATCGTCATAAGAAATAATCCGTACTAGCTGCCAGTTTTGTACTGTAACTTATTGTGGTTTACTTGCACTTTTTCTTTAAGTTTTATGGCTGGTGGTCCATAAATATACCTTTAACCCATTTTCTGTGCCTCTGTAGACTGGAAGAAGTTTGCATTCCAGAACATATGCACACACTGACCATTGTGCACAAGTAAATACTGCCAAGCATATAGATTTTTTTATCAGAGAACACCTGCTTCGCCACCCCATTTCATAAACCAAGCAGTATTGGTATTAATCTAGGGGAGACAACTTCAGTCGACCGCAACACTTAGACCACTGCTGGAGCTAGAACCAGCCTTCGGCCCTCCTAACATTTATTGACTCTAACCATGCAGAGCCAAAGATCTTTAATCTATGCCTAGCCATTGATGGGCATAGAGAGAGTAATCCAAGCAGTAACAAGCCATGATAAGAAGATGTCTGTTTTCTGGGTTGTAGTGCTGTATAGCCTGGTGGTAGTTTAGCACTTCAGAGGTCATTGGATGCCTCCATCATCAGGATGCCCTGATGGAGGCAGCAATGATCTTAAACACTGGTACACTACTACCAGTCCACAAGGTGCTACTACCCAGAAGACACATCTTTGGACTTACCACGGTGACCTCAAATTGTACCAAGCCAAGGTAAAATTACTAATATGGAGTACAGATGCAGACAGTGAATCTATGTGAGCGACAACCATTAACACGAGCAACAAAGAGCATGAATGAATTTCCAGTTACTAATCAGAATAGTATTGGTTCATTTGACAAATGATTAAACTACTGTTAACGCTCATTAAGGCCTTAGGAAATGTCTTCAAAACCCATGCACTCAAGTCAAGTAAAGATGTAGTCCGCTCATACAGATTTTTTGCATGCAATCTCACTCCCTCTACTGTTTAAGTCACTGAAAGCCAAAATTATGTTACATGCTCCACCTACCAGCATTTTCAATAGTTTTTGTTATTCACAATACAACCCATGAAAACATTGTGGAAATATATTAATGGTAACTATATACAAATATATGGACGTGGTTTTAAGTTTCCAAACAACATAACCCCAAAGTTAGCTTCTGATGTTACAGACATGTTCACAGTAGGAATTTCACATAGCTATCATGCAGGCTGATGAATTCATGAGTGCTTCTGTCTCTGGCTAGGCACACCTTGTTACCCTAAAACTCAGAAGTTAAAATTTGATCAACATCCCTGTAATGTGGGGGTTTAAATCCCGTCCCAATATGATACAAGTTAAGGTAGTAACATAGTCTCCAAAATGTCATCATGACAATGTTATGATTTATGTACAAACATATTAACAACTATGAAGCTTTTTAAATGAAACTTGTTCAGGAATGTTCCAGAATGGAGTAAAAATAATCACCATGGGCATTCAGAAAGGTACCCCATTGACACACCATCCAATGGATTCCCTATATAAAGAACTCCCTGGGCTGCTGCTACGGGAGCCACATATTCACTAGCAGTTCTGAAAATGGATTTCTTCTACACAACCCACATACACTCCTGAGATCTGAGGTACTTACAGTGATGAATATGTTGACTGGGTGAAGACAGGTGATACATTCCTCTGAAACACTGGTTAACTGTCTACTAGATAACACAATGTCATAATCCAGAAGACCATTATTGACTATAAACGCATAATAAGGTTGTGTACACAGACCATCAACGTAACAATCAACACACAACAGGATGCATCCCATAAAACACAATACATAAATTTATGACATGTAAATACATACAGTTACTAGTTCTCAATTTCTAGCTGTTATTGTTTTCTTGAATGTGATGTGTACATTTCATGCAATTCCTGAAACATGTCTATTTGCAATATGCTGTGCACTTCATCAGTTCACATGTTCAAATATGTTGTCTCTTCTTTCAGTATCTGGAATGGCAAATTCAGTGGGGGTAATGAAAGGCAAAGTTACATGATAAATGACTTTAATGGGTAAATACATTACATTTTTCCATAACTTTGATCTTATTTAATTGAATGTAGCCTATACTATCATACATGGAACTCAGAGTCTTTTGTAATAGTGAATTGCATTACCGCATGTTCATGTAAGAACCTGGACGGGGAATTGAGTATTTTGTATTTTGTTGATGTTTGTTATTCCAATATTTTAGTGACCCAGCTTTTGATTTAGGCAGTTTAGAATGAGGCACAAAAATGTGAGTTCATTTTCTAGTACAGCTACATACATACTACAATCTAACCTTAGTCTTCATCAGTTTAACTTATTTTCTTCACTATTGTATTAAAATGAATTTATTTCTGATGTAGGACTACACTGCATAACCTGCATTTACTGTGTCTGTAGGATTCCTCTTATTACATTCTTTGTTGTTAAAACAAGAATGTTCATAATTTTAAAATTATAATTTTAATTTCTAGTCATTGCTATCAGTACCTTCTTGCTTAATATTTTTACATCACAAGCTAGATGCAGTTGTGCTACCACACATCTCAATAACATACTTTATAATAATATGACATAGAAAAATATTATAATAGATGTTCTCTCTCAATGAAAGAAGACCTTGGTTTACAGGTATTCATAGTCATCAATCCATCAGTGTGAAGTTACATTAATTAAAAATACTGTATCAGCCATCATATATTATGGTGGTGTTAATTACCAGACTTGTTTATATTTTGTGGTTAACTAACAACCACAAATTATAAAACATGATTACTTACATCAGCATCTAAAATATTTATTTTTAACATTTTCAATGGAAAAGTTCTCAACAATGTTTCATATCATTATGCTGTGCCATTAATGGTATTCCCTGATTTGTGTTTTTTTTCTAGAGCACTATTCCCTCCACTGTGAGTTCCATTGAGTGTTACTAGGGGAGGAGCATTGGCATTGAGATCTGCTGCAATAAGAGGCAATGATGAGGCACACTGAAAGTTGGTTTCTTCTAGGGCTTGTTGAAGCTTCATAAGCGATGGGCACTGCATTACCACTCCCTGAATGCTATGCAGAGTCTGTGAACAGATGCATTTAACTGATCATTCTAAAGAAACATTAATTGAAATGAAAGAATAAGTCTTCTCTAAAATAATGTTCCAATTAAAAAATTAATAAACCCCTAAACAATTAATTAATTCATAATCCATAATTCAGACCACAGACCTTATGTCAAATACATTTTACAAGGGAAAAAGTTACATTAATCCTTCATAAATTTAACAAAATTTTCATCACATTTTATCAGATATTCAAAGTGACTTCATCTAAGCTGAAAGAGCCTTATTGATGAAATGTATGCCTTATAAAACAGTTAGTTATAATCATAAAATAGGGTACAATAACTTTGTAGGATTTGATGTTTTCATGACAGTGAGTCTGAAGATGACTGTCTTCTGGGTTGTGCCGCATAGTCTGGTAGAAGTTTACTGACGGACGTGTCAGAGGTCCTTGCTGCCACCATCATCAGGGTGATGAGGCAGCAAGGACCTCTGAAACGTCAGTAAATTTCTAAAAGAATACATGGTGCAGCAACCCAAAAGACAGCCATCTACAACAACTTTTTCACTCTTTGTTCTGAAAAAGGCACACTTTCCATTTTGCACATTTTAACAATAGAGGATAGAAACATTACTCTATGGAAATGGGAATACTGATAACTGCTTACGGACAGGAATTTTTTATACACAAGAGAATTATGTCAGGAGTTAAGACGGTGGAGTTTGTTAGTGACAGTGTCATACGTAATACTATGAGGCTGATAATAGTGTGATATTTTTATAAATGTGCATGAACCAAATGAGGACAAATGCGAGGATACAAAGGACAGTTTTTACGAGGAACCAGAGAATGTATTCAATCAATTCCCTATATACCTCATAACAATTTGTTGGAAGAGGATATTAAGAGTAGCCTACATATGGGGAATGCTTGCTACCATGCAGTACAAAATCTTCTGTCTTCCTGTCTGATATATAAAGACATAGTGATTAAAACATACAAAACTCTAATGTTATCTGTTGTTTTGTATGGGTATGAAACTTGATCTCTCATGTTTAATGGAAGAACACAGACTGAGGTTATCTGAGAACAGTTGCTCAGGAGAATATTTAGACATGGAGGGATAAAATGAAAAAACTGAATAATGACAAGATCCATAATTTGTACTCTTCACCAAATATTAGGATGAACAAATCAAGGAGGATAACATGGGCAGGTGCATAGTGCACACAAGGGATATCCACAGAAAATATTTCCTTCAAACTGACAGACAATGTATTAAAGTCTGTTAATCAAAAAATGAAAGTTGGAGGAATCATTCTGTGATTTACCAAAAGCTTTTAACTCTATAAATCTTGGAATTGATGAACATTTGAATTGGAAAATTCACATTAAATTATTCCTAAATTAAGCAGAGCATGTTATGCAGTTAAATCAATTTTTCATACCAGCAACACTGACAGACTCTAATTTATTTTGTCTATTTTAACTCTGAAATGTGGAATAATTTGGGGGGGTAATTCATCTAACAATAAAATGATGTTTACTTTCAAAAGAAAACTGTTAGAATTATGGACAAGTGACAAACGTAGAAATTCATGTAGAAGTCTGTTAAAAGAATTATATATTTTACCTCTTCCATATGAATAGATATTTTCATTAATGAAATACCCAAGAACATTTTCAGAAAATGCAGCCATACACAATGTTAACACAAGAAATAAGGACTATCTTCAAAGCAGTACAGAAAAACTGTATGAGAAGAACAAAGTGAATGTGATGGGTACCCTATAACATGATGTCATTGGAGTTTGTATACACTTGCATCAGCATATACCATCATATTCCAAGAATACTGTGCATCTCTGATACTTGTCTGTTTACTAAACAGTTGAGATTCTTTCTGTTTCTTCTTCATTTCTAGTTCATACATGTTGATGTCTAACTTTCTTCTGCGAGATAAGTTCTACACAGTTCACAAATTTTAATGCTACGTCATTGATTTGTGTATATTCATTATTTTCACAAACACGGAAATCCAAAATTCAATTTGCCAGGTTCAGAAACTTTTTGTGGAACACAGCAATTTCCTATGGCTTTCATGGTTTCTAAAAATACAGATTTCCACACTCCAATATATTTACTCAATTTCATATTGGAGTGATCATACTCTTACATGTTAGTTATCATCACATATGAGACAAATTCAAAACAAATATGGCAGTCTTCAGGCTCTTGTGATGCTGAAACCCGTGTTTGTACTTTCTGGTGGCAACATTATGTTCTTGTCAGCTGATTCAGACAAGTCTCAGATAAAAAGGTAAAGTGGAAAGAAAACTTATGCAATACACATATTTACATGGTGGGACAATGAAAATTTTAGGTCTACCTTCCTTGTAATTTGGCATTTAAGATAACATGGTGGTCTTTGAAATAATGGCTAATCAATCCACCATAATACAGTGGCATGGGCCAAAATTACAAATTCAAATTTGATTCCTCCACAAACTGTTATAACTCATTTCTAATCCATGATATCAAGCTCCTACCCAGTGTCTGACTGGAGCTTACCTCCAGGGCATTGTCAATTGCTTCATATTGTCGCCTCACTTCTGTAGCTGCCTGATGCCAGTTTTTTGTTAGTATTTGTCTATTCAATGAATATTTCTGTCCTATTTCATGTAACTGCTGTTCTTTTTCTGCCAACTTTTCTTTCAGAAATGGAATCTGAAAATAAATTAATTTATTTTACATATTTTTAATTGGGATAACTGGCGTAACCACAGACTGAACATCAAAGTTATTTATCCTGACAGAGGACATTTGTGGTTTACCATAGTTCTGCCAAATGTAATTATAATACAGTATCTAGAATTGATTTACTGTTTATTAATGTATTTAGGAATGTTCTCATGTGAGCAGACTGAATGAAAGGATGATTATGAATTTAGAAGGATGTGTAATGAAGTAATCATGGCCTATTCTAAGGTACTATCCTAGCAGTTTTCTGGAAGACTCAAGGAAATCCAAACAGGATAGTTGATCTCTGGTTGAGGAACTGTAGTTTTGTCACAGTAACATCAAAAACATAACCCAAAGATGACTGAACTTCTACATAAAACATATTCAGGAAGGTAAACTGTGACTCAGAAGGAAGGAACAGTAAGAACTGTCAAGGAGGGCTGCCTGTGAATACAGCAGCACAGGGATACTTGGAAGTCAGGACTATAGAAGAATATGACTGAATAACTGTTTATATAAATTTTATGGCAATTTATACTAATTATAACCTTATTTTAATATTGTTAAAGATCTTACTTGGTTCAGTGAAAATCTTCACAAAGATTATGTGTTAATTACGGACCTAAGTTTGGTAAACATTATGGCCAATAATGCCTGATTTCTAAAATATAGTTGATGAGGCATGGAGGGTAGACAAAGCAAAAAGTGATATTTACAGGTGAGAGTACAGCAATACAATTAAGTATAAACAAGCAGCCAGGTGGGGAAATTGTATTAAATATAAAAACTATGTAACATGTCTGAACCAAAAGTCAAGACTCACTAATTTTTAATATTTTGTGATATTACCTTATCACGAGTAGTAACGACTCTAGCCAGTAATTCTGGTGATGGTAGTTGTCCACTTTCTTGCCACTGCTGTAGAACATTCTCTGCTTCTTGTTCTTGAGAACACAACTGCTGTTCTGTCTGCTTGCATACAGTGCTTAGGTTCTGCAGTTCTCTAGTCAGTTGCTGAAAATGACGACATTAAGATGCTGCTTATTCATCATTAACACAATGGGTGGTAATGACAAATTTTCAACAACCAATGCTACTCCAAAAACACAACAGTTGATTTTTCATCAGTTCAGTATCCAATTCTGTTTTACGAAAGAAGTTGGCAAACTCTTAGAGGTCACAGCTGATGAGTTTCCATTGTTTAAGTCTGTCTGAGTTGTACTTTATCACAAATAAGTTGCTGTTACCTGCCAATATAGGAAGTCATATTACAACTTTCAGGTTATACTATGTGTTATTTCAATAAAAAAAACCTTGACATCGCAAGTTCTAAAATGCAAATCATATATCATAACGTTTAAGTTAAATGCAGTCAGAACATAACTGGAAATTTGCAGTCAGTCACCTAACATTACTGAATACAAAACAATACAGAAAACCTTAATGTTTGGAGTTGGAGAAATGGGAGTTTTTTACACGTAACTGACTGGACTATGCCAGAACTCAGGATTTTCTGTTTTATTTACTGTAATGTGTTTGGTTCTTGGAAAGAAGGCTTTATTTAGTACAAATTATCTTCTATTTCAGCCCTTCTTACCAAGTACTAAAGAAAAATAATGGTTTTACTGAATGTGAGTAATACCTTCTCTCAGTACTTAAGCTGGGCTTTGTTTTTGGTAAGCATTCTTATGTTTCTCACTTATCCATTTTTCATACACAGACACACATTCCAACAGCAAGTTAGGCACTAATTATTGATACAAAGTATTTTCACAGTGTAACTCCTAGAAGCAAACACATATCTTTCCCAAACCCAATGAAATGACAACCAAATGAGATAATTTAAAACCTACTCCCACCTCAATTTGATCTCGATGCTGCTGTAATTCATCTTTTGTATTTTCCAGTTCCTGAACTCGCCGCTGCAACTGAAGGTGTACATCTTGCACTTCTCCACGTAATCTTGCCCCAATTCGTTCCCAGTTCTTTAATTCTTCCTGAACTTCTCGTCTGCTTTCTTGCTCTCGTCTCACTTGCTCTGCTAGCTGTACTCTACACAAGAAGATATTTTAATTTATTCTCTTAGAACCAAGCAGGATAAAAATGTACCACACATATATGTATACAAGTGATTTATATATGCTAAACAACAAGCTTATTTCAGAACACTGTTCCAACATTCATCATCATTCTTCTTCCATTGCTGTTAATGAAAGTAACAGTTACATTTCCTGGGGTGCATCTTTACTGTATCAGGTAGTCCATTTATATTAAGTTTTTTCATATTTTTTTTTGTTCTCATTAATTACCAACAATGGAATAAATCTATTAGTTATTATCACCTGTCATTATTACCACCACCACACAGTAAACAAAAAGGTTCTATGAATTCTAGGTCTTTGTAAATTCTGACAAATTTGGAACATCAGATACATGCAGACTTATAAACTAACTTCTGTACAAGAAGTTGTCAACACATTTTGTAAGAAGTGGTGAACAGCTACACTTAGCCACTGTTTGCACTGTGAGAAGAGTATGCACTTAGTAGGCGTTTTGGAGAAAGCCGCAGTCAGCGCATGTGTGAAGAGTAACTCTCATAAGAATGCTATCATGACAACGAAAGTATCAACACAAAAGACGACTAGGTGCCAAGGAAAATTTTCTCACAGGACCGTCACCATTACTGTTCTTCTAAACAAAATAAATATTTCCATATATATAATGTTTCTGAATCTATGTGTATACCAAGTAGTTTGGTCATACTGTTCTATAAACTGGCTGTTAAGAACTAGATTTTACCTTTCATCATGCAATTCATCCACACAGGTGTCATTCTCCAGCTGGATGATCCGCAGAACTTTGAGCAATTTAGTAACCAGATTGTCCACATCAATAATTTGGTCCACAAGAGTTATAGCTGGGAAGCAGTCCTCTAAAGGTGGTAAGACCTCCATACCCGACACTCCATAGTCAATTGCTGTGAGGTCAACTCTGCAGCAGCTGCCATCAGCTTGCGCCATCTCAAAATGTTGTCGATTCAGAATAGCTTGTGATAAGTTTTGTAAAGATTCACTGTTAGCAAGACGAGTACTTGAGATACTCCCATTGCTGCAGCGATGATTTAATTCTGTCTCTTCACTGTCCTGTTCCTCTGTTTTATTAAGATCTTTCTCATGTTCTTCCACTTTCGACATTTCTGTAAATTAACACACAGAAACTTACATTGTTCATAATTTAATGGCAAACAGCAGCAGTATATTTAAAATAAAATCTATTCCTGTTAACTCTCAAAGAACTCTCACACATGCCAGCATGTCTACACAGTTGCGTATGTTCCACCTCTTTCAAAATGGCTTTAAATTTGTCAATGCAATTCATATTCCAGGCCCTTCACACACCTTCATATGCATCTTGAGGAACTTCTTGAGCAGTTTCTTCATTCTGCAGACCTGCTCTTTTTCCTGCACCTCCGACTGCTGCATTGCGTATGGCACTGATTACAGCTGATACAAATGAAGCCCCTCGTTTGGGGGATGGTGTACGCTGTGCACCAAAGGTTGGTTGTTCTGATGGTCGATTAACAGACATCCTCTCTGGACTTGCTTCAACACTGCTGTTACTCTTGCTGTAGGCTTCATTATGAAATATTACATCCTACAAAGTATGACAAAGACAATTATTAAACACAAGTACATATAAGATGTTGAAAATATTAAATTATTGTATTTATAAACTATGCAGTATGAGAGAACACAAGAAACACTATAGACTATAATTACTTCAACCACTTAAAAGGCCATGAAGCTGTCCATGGGTGGGGGGTGGGGGGTGTTAATGGTATAATTATAATACATATACATTGTTACAAAGAGACCACATTAAATTACAAACAAGCAATTTAAGAGAAAAGTACAATTCTTCAAAGTCATTAAGGTTCATTAGTAATTATTTTTTTGAGATTACTAAATCACATTTTAAGTAATTTTTATAGGACTTCATATCACATCAAGGGAGCATTCAGTTACAAGAGTTGGGGAACCAGCACATGAGACATTAATACACAAAGTACATTTTATTCTAATAAAACACCGTAATTGATAAAGTGTCACCAAATGTGACAGATATAGACTTCTTAAGGATTACTAAAATATAAAACAAAGTGTAGGAAGTTAGGTACACCCAGTGTAAACTGGATTTATATACACAGGTTATGATTCTGGAAAGGTTGTTGGAGCCTTCAAATGCTTTCCTAATGTCACATGCATGCAGACATGTTGCTGGACTACTACATATCACTCATTTTAAATTATAAATCAGAAATGATTAAACAGCACTTAAGAACTTATGATATGATTTGTGCACCACAGTAAACTATGAACAGAATATCTATACACACAAGCAGCAAGGAACTCTCCTCATTTCTCTTGAAAGATGCATAATCATAAAATCAATGTATTTGATCGAAAAAAATTTCAAATTGTTACAAAAAAAACTAATCTGAATGAAACCTAGTATATATTATGGACTGAGGTAATTTGTATTCAATTTATTCCCAGATGTATAAAGTAGTATTGTTATATGATCCTGTCAATTTATATTGAAAATTTTAACTCATATTTGTTGAAAATGTGTGAACTGTCACAAAAACTAGACCCCAACATATAATTTTTTTGCAAGATATCTCATAATATAATAAAGATTATACAGCAGCATACAGGATGATTCAAAAAGTTAGGGCCAAACTGAAGGAGCGTATAGACGGACTCAGAGAGAACAACTTTCGAAGAGAAATCCATGTCCTCTGAAGTTATCTTCAGTCAGTCAAGGCCATTGAAGGCAGGGACATCTCGTACTTTGCTATTCTCCTACTAGCTTAATTTTGTTTTTTTATTAATGTACAAGGATTACATTAGCAATTTTACAAAGCAAATTATTTCAGCAGTATGCTATCAGACTTCCCTACCTTCAATGGCTTTGGCTTACTCAGGATAACTTTGGAGTTGTTCTCTCTGAGTCCCTCTACACGCCCCTTCAGATTGGCCCTAACCTTTTAAATCATCCTGTATATTTGTTTATGATACAGAACTGACAAAACCGTTTTTTTAAAAATATCTACAAGCTGCTTCAATGATACTTATAAAAAAGCATGAAGTTTCTTCAAGTATCATTTAAAACACCAATATATGTATTTCTTTTTCATGGACTTACGAGACATAGCAAAGTCCTTGTAATGTATAATTTTTAACATGTTTTTCAAGAACTTCAATTGAAACAAAAATTTTCAAATTAGTTATATTTAAAAAATACTAAAATTAAAGATTTTATTTAGTTCCATTTATGAATACACATACACACTACTAATTACTAAGTAGGAAAATGTTTATATGCAGCAATCTATGGTTATAAAAGATGGTGCCAAAGATTTTAGGTTTATAGTAGTTTCTAAGTGTCTTTGAGTCCAAAAGTGTATGGGAAAAATTGAAAGCCAAGCAGAAGTTTGTATAAATGTAACAATAAATATATAGCTTAACTTTATAAATATTTATATTACAAATTTGACTTTAGTTAACTGCTATGACTTACCTACTAATGTAGACTGGCTTCAATTTGGCTCAGAATGGAAAGGTATAGTCATTAATGTGATGTGGCAACATTTTTTGACATGCGAGATAGATTTCTGCTTGACTTATAGAAAACTCATACAGCATGCAGTTACGAGTGACTATAATGCATGAAGGGCATAACGTACAGAAAAGGTTTGTGTATTCAGGGATGATATATAAAACTGCACTGCTACAGGTGTATGTACATTCCAAACTCATGCTTATTTACAAGTTGCAGCTTCTATGGAATCTGGTGAATATCAGCTGCAAGAGAACAGTAAGCTAACTCCACAATGTGGATTGCAGTTTTACAAAATATATGCTTAACCCTTTGTCCCATTTGAAGCAAACCACACAAAACTAAAATATTATTTGTTATGGTGTAACTGTACCTGGGTCTGAGACTCAGGACAAATTTGACTGTAAATATTATCAGGTATAATAACATAGTGGGCCCAAACTATTACGTTGGGTCAAGGTCCCTAGAAATATCACTATACTAGAGTTCACAGTCACCCAACAGTCAGAGTATAAGTCTGTATGCCAGTGCATTAACAATACTCTTGTCACTATTTTGTCTCTATTGGTACAATTGTAATTGTTTGTAGGGATTATATATAGGTAGCCCTCAATTTGTGCCAGTTCAATTTGCGCCGATTCAGACTAACGCCGATTTTGAAACCAGCAAGTTAAAAAGTGAAAAAATATATATTTTACCATTATTTATAACGTTTTACAATGTATCTCGTACTGATTCTTATACTAAATCGTAATTCTTAAATCGCTGATTTACGTATGTTTTGTGAACGCGAATTTGCTCCAATGAGATCGATGAATCGGTAAAAGCTATTTGTGAAATGCACACTTTTGCATATGCGAGTTTGCTCTTAATGAAATTTCATTCCTGGCGCTTTAAACTTTCAAAGGACTAATTTAATCTCTGCAGACGTACCGGAGTTAATTTTACTACGGAATTTTCTATAGATCGGCGTTTTACATGAATGCAACTATCACATAACAGCAGAGATGACTGTACACATCAATCACATGAAAGAATCACAGTCAATCGCGAGGACCAACGAATTGCTGATTGTAAGTGTATAAAATATATTTTTTAAATTCCCTTTATTTTATTTATGTTATTTAAGAGCTTTAAATGTAATGCCATTATATTAATCGTCAATGTTTTGGGTGCTGGGAACGCATGTCATTGACTTCCCATTGATTTACATTACAAAAGAGTTCCTATTTACACTGGTTCATCCAGGAACGCATCCCCGGCGTAAATCGAGGGCTACCTGTACTTCATTTAAGGTATATTACCAACTCATAAAAGGGTAATGAAATAAATTACATGAACAGAAAATCTAAAATATGGATAGTCAACTTGTATCAAGACAAAATCTTTTCTTATCAGCAATGCAATCTGAAAGCCAAAACATGCCTCAGAATTAAACTGTCGAACTGTTGTAGTTTTAACGAATTTTCCTAATTTTTAGAAACCTGCAAATGCAATTTGAATCTGTAAGTCCATAAGTAATATGTCGCTGTTGTTCATTCAATAGAATTAATTATACGGAGCAAAGGATTAATGGAACTACTATAATATAAAACAAAATAAATTTCCATTGGTGTAAAAATTCATACCATTCATGTCATTGTAATACCAATTATGTGGACATTGGATTTCTCAAGTAAGTGCAGGTATTTAACATTAGTAAAACAATGTGAACTTGTGAAATTTCAAAAATAGAAAAATAATTAGGCCAGCCACAGAAGAATAAATAAGGTAACAATTATGTGAAGCAGGGAGCTTGTAATACTTCCAGATTTATGCTAAAATATAAGAATAACATGAAAATGATACGCAAGTACTGAGTTAAACTGTGTGTAGGTTAAATTTTTTTAGAAAAAAATTCTAAAAGTAAATATGGTATTGTAATTCTGTATCAATTTTGAAAGAGAGCTATGTGACATTTTGCTTACACTTAAATAATTTTTGTTTCAATTTACATAGTTGAGGTGTTGTTGAGCATATATAACCACCATTCATTAAATAAACTTTGAACAAATAATAGTTTGTTGCTGTACACCAAAATGAACTAGAGAGATTTACATTAAAGTACAAAACACAGTAAATTACTAAATTTGTTATATCCAAAGTAAAAATTATGTAAGTCACTTGTTATTAGGGCAAGCTTGATTAAGCTTGTAAAGGAGATCTATATAATGGTATTGGTAAACGCAGAAAAGGTTTTGCTTAAACAAGCTTGTTCCATCATCCTACTAACTGCTGATTCATGCCCCACACCACCACCACCGCCGCCACCACTGCCCTCAGCAGCATTGGAGGAAATTAGCAATGCTGCCACTACCTCCAAGTCTTTCTCCGAGATGTTATACGACACCACTAGTTGCTCAACAAGTCCATCCAGTCTGGAGCTGAGACCAGACAGTGCTACAGCTGCACCTGACACAGCTGCTCCTTGCTGCAACAAGAGTTCACGGCTTCGCTGCTCCAAGCTGCACAGCTGGGCTTGTAGGACTAGATTTTCTTGCCTGAAAAAGTTTAAATACTTCAAATGGAAGATCTAACAGTCAGAGTGCCAAAACATGAATATAATGAATTAAGTATGAAGATTGCTGTCTTCTGGGTTGTTGCATCGTTTAGACTGGTAGATGTCCACCAACGTTTCAGAGGTGTTTATATAAGGATGCAGACAGGCTACAGTAGGGCCCCGCTTTTCAGCAATCTGCTAATACAGCGCTTTTCAATTGCGTGCATATGCCCCACGCGCTCAACAGCTAAGTCAGAGAAGTGCGTCCGGCACTATTTTCTCGTCGCTGATTCAGTCTGTTTACAGCTACTACTGATATTCATTTTACTTTCATATCGTTTTTTTAGGCCTAGCGCTATTGTGCACTTACTATATGATATTGTAAACATCTTATTGGGCTTTGATATGCATTTGCAATTGAGAAAAGGCAAAGATCCGCTTTTCGGCGATTTTCACTTTTCGGTGGAGGTCTGGTCCCTAACCTGCCATATATGCGGTGCCCTACTGTACAAGCTTTGATAAGGTTGTCTATGACTGGAGCATTTGTGGAAGGTATTAGCAATTACACATATCTGCAACTGCAGTCTGTGACATTGCAGTGGGCAGGCAATATGGGGAGCCAGATGGGGAAGTAAGGGTGATTGGCACCAGTTGTAGCAGGATCTCAAGACAGTATTATTCCTGTAATATTGTTAATAAGGGCTAAGTAATTACAATTTTCTGCATTATAAGTTGTCAAACATTTTTAACACCACAAATAGTTATATGATACAGTATTAGGTCAGGTGAAGGAAACATATAATTTACAAACATAAAAACCAATATGCTGTGACATTCTTTATTCACCACAGAAACTCACCTTCGCTGCTCACTGATTCTCACTAAATGCTTGCATTCCTCCTGTTGTCGTTCAAGTTCACATTCCTTTTGTGTCATCTGTTGCCTTTGTACTTTTATCTACAGACAAAAATATTGAAATTTGTAACGTAATGGACACAGAACATTACCATAATGATACTGAAGACTTGAAATTAGATAAAAATATATTCAGACAGAAATTTATAAATAAATCAGTAACACAATTTCAAATTATATTCTTATACCCGAAAGATGATTTGTTAACCAAACATAATCTGAGAACATGTGACTAAACTTACTGCATACAGGTAACTTAAATTCATACTACAAAAATGGATGCAGTATGTTATTCACAGTAGGAATTCTAGTCAAATAACACAAACATTATACTCAAATACAGACATTCTTTCAATCACAAATTTGTAGTTCTGCTACAACATTATTATGGGATCTGACAATTAACTAAAAAGACAGATGTCAACTGTGGTCTTCTGGGTTATGCTGGCATATGTCCTGTCCTCCAAAATGTTTATAACCACATACAACACTATTTGCCGTCACAACCCAGAAGACCACATTGACAACTTCACCACTATTAAAATCAGAGAATGTCCCAACACTAGTGTTAACTTTTGGAAAAATGTCACTTTATTGATAGCTCTGCACGGAAGGTGCATAGTCACTTGTGTGGTCAAAGATGCACTGTTGTAAATGTTCTAAAACTTGAAGTTAGAATGATTAGTTGACTGTTCTGTATGTGGATCCAAGGGCAATGTGGTATTCACAAGAACTGTAGGTTACATTAGGTGTTCCCAACCAGTCAGACCACCAACATGACCTACAATCCTCTGCCTGTGGGTCCACATGCATAACGCTCATATACTGTTCAGGTCTGAGTAAGCTGTTTGGCCCTGCAGGATGAGGTATGGGGAGACAGTAGCTGGAATAAATAAAAGTAACAGAGCCAATCAGAAGGCCACTGCTTTACTTGTGTATGCAATTATTATCTGCCCTTAAAATATTAAACACTTGCTGCCTCTGTGATGTGAAGCCAGCAAATAATAGCCTGTGCTCAATGACAAGGACGCCGGTGCAGTGGCCACGCATTCTGAGGCATGGGTCTCGTGTGCCTGGCCGCTGTGACCGTGGGTTTGAGTCCCACTCAAGGCATGGATGTTTGTCCGCGTCTCCTCTTCCAGTCTGGTGGGTAAAGAATGGCCACAGAAGGCAAGGCAAAACCACCGTGGTACTTTCGCAAGAAAACCCCGAAAGGGGTCACGATGGTCAAGCTGACCATAGACGATGAAAAAAAAATGACAAGGACTGGATCTGTTTTTTGTGAATTATATTATTGTTTGGTAATAACAAAAATACTAAAGGAAATCAGCATGTAGACATTACAAACAGAACAAAGAGAACTCAGTCAATACTTTCAATCTGAATGGTATATATAACTAATTTGACATCTGTAATTAAGAAAAGTTTAATTTATATAAAACTAATAGGATTATTTAAAGTTCTGGGTATTAAAAATGTGAAAATGACTTTATAAGAGTTTAAACATGTAGTATTTATATCAAATGTTTACTGAAATACAGAGAGCACCTGAATAGTTCTGGATTGTGTAGACAAAGAGAGCCAATTCTGTATTTTAGTTGGATATCCCCGTTCCCACAATAAAAGTTATGCCGGATGGGTGCCTCGTATGCTAATTGCTGAGATGAAATCTGACAGACAATGCATTTGTCAGAAACATCTGAGTCCCAGAAAATAAATGCCAATCAATGAAATTATTGGCCAAATTAACTGCAACAAAAAAGTTAAAGCCTTGACCCAATTTTTGGAATGGTGGTGGTGTTCTTGCAAATTTTTTTTGGAAAAGGAACAATAGTTAACTCTGCAGGTTAAGCTATAACTCTGGAAAGGACGAAGAAAAAGTTCACAAGGGTTTGTACTTTATCAAAAAGTTGTTCATTGTTGGCATAAATGTATCAAGGTAGAAAGCGATTACGTTGAAAAATAATTTCAAGGTACATGTTTTTTAATTTATTCATATCCTTGAATATATTGTGAGAACCTCAAGTCTTACATATTTATTATTTATTTGCATGAAGGCAACCCAACTTCACATATAGCAATGCTGCATATTTAATAAAAAGTTTATTATTGCTTTGTGGAGACAGTTATGTGTTTTTTGCATGAAGTGCATAGCAAGAACACATTATGAGCTGATCATGTCTGTCCAGTTGATTCAGCTCAAGAACTACTGGATGGATCTGGATGAAATGTGATGTGGAGGTTGTGCTATTCTGCAAGACCTCAAAATCGTACCTTTGAATATTCTACAAGCAATAATAACAAAATGACAGGTGAGGAAAGCTGTGAGGAAAACACTGAAATGCAACCTGGTGGCCAAAGTGGGAACTATCAAACAAGGACGATTTAATATTTCTAAATGCACACTGAAAGAACACATAAGGATATAATGTGTATTCAGGTACAGAATACACTTTCCAAACAAGCTATTCCCTAATATAGCATTAATCTACAGTAGAAATCTTTCTTATAACACACACACATATATATATATATATTTTTTTCATTTTCATAGTAAGTCATTGTTAAGGCATGGAAAATCAAGTAGATGTGAATAATTAGGTTCAGTGCAAATATAAATAACCAGTTTTTTATAATGAGCTTTAGTAAATTAAGCCTGGCACTACATGAAACTATTTAAACTGCGTAAAATTATTAAGCACTACTAACTGTGGTAATTAAAGCTATATATAAAAGCTATATAAAAATTACTCAAAGCATAAATTTAACTTTGTCTACACACAAATATATATGCACATATACATGCGCACGCATGCACGCAGTGTTTGAGTCAGGTTAACAAATCCAGTAACTTTATCTATTTGAACCAGAGCAATTTCAAATAACTTATCCCAGTCTTTACTACCTACTATTTATAACTGATATACTTATAAATCAGCTCCTTACCTCTGTCTCAGCATCTCTGAGTGCATCTGCTAGAGTTGATTTCTCAGCCTGCAGGAACTCCTGCAACTCAATAGACTCAACCTCGATTTCTTGCTGTTGCTGAAGAAGTGTCTTCTGGGCTGCCAAACTCTTCTCCAAGTCCTGCAATGACAACGCATGCAGTAACAGCTGTTTATGAGTAAAATATTACTGGGAAACTCATACACTACGAGTATGGAGTTAATAAAAGTAATATGTAATTCTACACCAGAGTAGCCATCAGATCAGTCTTGCTTTGAATACGAAAACTTTTGGAAGATGGCTCTCTTCTGGGTAGTTGTGTTATATAGTCTGGTATAAGTTTACAAATATTTCAGAGTTACTAAATGCTTTCCTCATGATAGAGGCAGCTGCTTCCTCTGAAACGTCAGCAAATTTCTACCAGACTAAACAGTGCTACCATCCAGAAGACAGCCATCTTCATATTTGTCACTGTGGGAACTTGAAATCCTACTAACAAGATCTCTGTCTTAATTTGAGGAAGGACAGTATGTGAATAAATTGTTAATGAACAGATTGCAGAAAAGATGTAAATTTCAGTATCATCCACAAACATCAGACATTTTGTTATAAACATGACCCACTACATATTTAAAAAATGTACTTACAGTACTTTTTTAAAATAAATTTATTGTACTAAGCAAAAATATACATTTGTTTTCATTACTATAGATGCAGCAACATATATATTGAGCATTTGTTTGGCAATTTATTTTTACACGGAACTAGAAATATACTCAACATAAGACTGAACTCTAAATTACTTTGGACCTTAAAAGGAAGGTATGACATAATGTATAGATGAGTAGATACGAGGGTGAGTCAGAAAGTTTCCGCAATTATTTTTTTATTAAATAATTCAATGACTATGAGTATGTAAATAACATCACTTTTCGATGTAGTCCCCATTCTTTTCAACACACACAGCCCAGTAGTCCACAATATTTTTGGTTGAGTGACCTGCCACACATGCACCACTTCTTGTTATTGGCGATGTCAGATGTTTCCATTCCATACCCTGGCATTTGCTTTCTGGGACGTAATGGTGGATCCACGTCTTGTCCTAGTGACAATGTGTCTCAAAACAGTGTCACCTTCGTTATGACAGCAGTTCAATAGGCCTTGTAAGATTGTCAAATGATTGCACTTGTGCTCTTCTGTGAGTTGTTTTGGATTCCATCTTGTACAAACTTTATTAAAACCAAGTAAGTCTTAGATTATTTCATGAGCAGAACCATTACTGATGTGCAGATGATGCACCACTTCATTGACAGTCACCTGTTGATTATCCAGAATCATGGCATGGACTCCTTTAATATTTTCCTCTCTGGTGGATGTGTATCGGTGTCGTGAGCATTCTTCATCTGAGACATTTGTGTGGCCATTTGTGAACATGGTTATCCATTCACACACACTTTGTTGCAATAAAGCACTGTTTTCATATTGTGCTGAACATATGTAATGGATTTCTGCCTCTGGTACATCTTCAGCCCACAACAATCGTATCACTGCAAGCTGCTCTTCTTTGGTGCATACGTTAAGTCTACTACAATTACACTATGACTGGCCAGTAAAGGTCGAAAGTATTTCACAATAATGTAGAGTGTCTGTGCTTCTACCTGTGCACGAATATGCAGTGAAGTCAACACAACAAGCTGTAAAATAAATCATTGCTGAAACTTTCTGATTCACCATCATATAACTTATCAGACCTGACTCTAAAGGAAATGGTAATTGGCCTACAAATGAATTTTAAACTCAAAACCTAAAGAAGAATGGCCCTCACATATGAACAGATTCACTGATGAGTGGCATCTGTTACATATACAAATCCTAAATTCTTCAGTATCACTTGCAGATTGAAAACATGCTCACATCTTGCACATTATTACTTAAATGGTGACCTTCAGATGGAAATCACCTCTGGCTAATTACTGATATGATTGCTCAGAATTTCAAATTCCATTAACAAGTTTAATAACCTTCATTACCATACACCAATAATGTTTTATTGCCTTCATTCTTTCATTACGAATTTGAAGCTTCCTTACCCGCTTCAGAGTTCGACAAAGTGTCTGGAGATCATTGATCTCCTGCTGCTGTTTGAAGACCACACTGCTGGATGATTGGAGGTACGCATCCAAAGCCTGCATACAGTCCACATCGTCACTATCATCTGAAACCACATAACCAAATATTTTCATTACCACTAACATTTCTACTAAGTAAAGTAAGTGAAGCATCCAGCTACATGCCTATGAAGGCTCTTGGGGGCAGCGGAGGTATAGCTCCTACTCTTTCTTGGCCTCAGCACCAGATGGGGGTGAGTGGTCACCATCACATCCTGGCCATGCTTTACCCCTGGGAAAGGACCCCGCTACCCATTGGCCAGGAGGCTGGGTGGGCCTCTTAGCTGGTCTGGACGCAAAGGCTAGAAGAAAAATCCTCTGCCCCAACGGGGATTGAACCCCAATCGCCCAGCCCGTAGCTAGTCACTATACTGACTGAGCTATCCTGGCTCATTAACATTTCTACTAGCAAATAAAACTATGACAATTATATTCTGTTACTGCACTGAATATTTAAATCTACATTTTTAAATCATCAGTATGTAAAATGTATGATTTAATTTTAAAATTAAATTCTACTTCTCTGTGCAATGTTACAAAGGTAATTATAGACAGCATAATCCACATATGGTTCAAGCTTCCGATATGAATATTGCACTGTCCCTAATACACTGATAGGACAACACCATGTCACCATTTGTCGGCAGTAACTAAAAAGAAAAGCTGACCAGAAAAGGATGTGAATAGTTTGTTTCATCGCCCTGATGACGGAGGCAGTATGACCTCTGAAACGTTGGTTAACATCGACCAGACTACACAGCGCAATAACCCAGAAGACAGAAATCTTCATATTCACCGCTGTGAGAACCTCAAGTCTTACATATTTATTATTTATTTGCATGAAGGCAACCCAACTTCACATATAGCAATGCTGCATATTTAATAAAAAGTTTATTATTGCTTTGTGGAGACAGTTATGTGTTTTTTGCATGAAGTGCATAGCAAGAACACATTATGAGCTGATCATGTCTGTCCAGTTGATTCAGCTCAAGAACTACTGGATGGATCTGGATGAAATGTGATGTGGAGGTTGTGCTATTCTGCAAGACCTCAAAATCGTACCTTTGAATATTCTACAAGCAATAATAACAAAATGACAGGTGAGGAAAGCTGTGAGGAAAACACTGAAATGCAACCTGGTGGCCAAAGTGGGAACTATCAAACAAGGACGATTTAATATTTCTAAATGCACACTGAAAGAACACATAAGGATATAATGTGTATTCAGGTACAGAATACACTTTCCAAACAAGCTATTCCCTAATATAGCATTAATCTACAGTAGAAATCTTTCTTATAACACACACACATATATATATATATATATTTTTTTCATTTTCATAGTAAGTCATTGTTAAGGCATGGAAAATCAAGTAGATGTGAATAATTAGGTTCAGTGCAAATATAAATAACCAGTTTTTTATAATGAGCTTTAGTAAATTAAGCCTGGCACTACATGAAACTATTTAAACTGCGTAAAATTATTAAGCACTACTAACTGTGGTAATTAAAGCTATATATAAAAGCTATATAAAAATTACTCAAAGCATAAATTTAACTTTGTCTACACACAAATATATATGCACATATACATGCGCACGCATGCACGCAGTGTTTGAGTCAGGTTAACAAATCCAGTAACTTTATCTATTTGAACCAGAGCAATTTCAAATAACTTATCCCAGTCTTTACTACCTACTATTTATAACTGATATACTTATAAATCAGCTCCTTACCTCTGTCTCAGCATCTCTGAGTGCATCTGCTAGAGTTGATTTCTCAGCCTGCAGGAACTCCTGCAACTCAATAGACTCAACCTCGATTTCTTGCTGTTGCTGAAGAAGTGTCTTCTGGGCTGCCAAACTCTTCTCCAAGTCCTGCAATGACAACGCATGCAGTAACAGCTGTTTATGAGTAAAATATTACTGGGAAACTCATACACTACGAGTATGGAGTTAATAAAAGTAATATGTAATTCTACACCAGAGTAGCCATCAGATCAGTCTTGCTTTGAATACGAAAACTTTTGGAAGATGGCTCTCTTCTGGGTAGTTGTGTTATATAGTCTGGTATAAGTTTACAAATATTTCAGAGTTACTAAATGCTTTCCTCATGATAGAGGCAGCTGCTTCCTCTGAAACGTCAGCAAATTTCTACCAGACTAAACAGTGCTACCATCCAGAAGACAGCCATCTTCATATTTGTCACTGTGGGAACTTGAAATCCTACTAACAAGATCTCTGTCTTAATTTGAGGAAGGACAGTATGTGAATAAATTGTTAATGAACAGATTGCAGAAAAGATGTAAATTTCAGTATCATCCACAAACATCAGACATTTTGTTATAAACATGACCCACTACATATTTAAAAAATGTACTTACAGTACTTTTTTAAAATAAATTTATTGTACTAAGCAAAAATATACATTTGTTTTCATTACTATAGATGCAGCAACATATATATTGAGCATTTGTTTGGCAATTTATTTTTACACGGAACTAGAAATATACTCAACATAAGACTGAACTCTAAATTACTTTGGACCTTAAAAGGAAGGTATGACATAATGTATAGATGAGTAGATACGAGGGTGAGTCAGAAAGTTTCCGCAATTATTTTTTTATTAAATAATTCAATGACTATGAGTATGTAAATAACATCACTTTTCGATGTAGTCCCCATTCTTTTCAACACACACAGCCCAGTAGTCCACAATATTTTTGGTTGAGTGACCTGCCACACATGCACCACTTCTTGTTATTGGCGATGTCAGATGTTTCCATTCCATACCCTGGCATTTGCTTTCTGGGACGTAATGGTGGATCCACGTCTTGTCCTAGTGACAATGTGTCTCAAAACAGTGTCACCTTCGTTATGACAGCAGTTCAATAGGCCTTGTAAGATTGTCAAATGATTGCACTTGTGCTCTTCTGTGAGTTGTTTTGGATTCCATCTTGTACAAACTTTATTAAAACCAAGTAAGTCTTAGATTATTTCATGAGCAGAACCATTACTGATGTGCAGATGATGCACCACTTCATTGACAGTCACCTGTTGATTATCCAGAATCATGGCATGGACTCCTTTAATATTTTCCTCTCTGGTGGATGTGTATCGGTGTCGTGAGCATTCTTCATCTGAGACATTTGTGTGGCCATTTGTGAACATGGTTATCCATTCACACACACTTTGTTGCAATAAAGCACTGTTTTCATATTGTGCTGAACATATGTAATGGATTTCTGCCTCTGGTACATCTTCAGCCCACAACAATCGTATCACTGCAAGCTGCTCTTCTTTGGTGCATACGTTAAGTCTACTACAATTACACTATGACTGGCCAGTAAAGGTCGAAAGTATTTCACAATAATGTAGAGTGTCTGTGCTTCTACCTGTGCACGAATATGCAGTGAAGTCAACACAACAAGCTGTAAAATAAATCATTGCTGAAACTTTCTGATTCACCATCATATAACTTATCAGACCTGACTCTAAAGGAAATGGTAATTGGCCTACAAATGAATTTTAAACTCAAAACCTAAAGAAGAATGGCCCTCACATATGAACAGATTCACTGATGAGTGGCATCTGTTACATATACAAATCCTAAATTCTTCAGTATCACTTGCAGATTGAAAACATGCTCACATCTTGCACATTATTACTTAAATGGTGACCTTCAGATGGAAATCACCTCTGGCTAATTACTGATATGATTGCTCAGAATTTCAAATTCCATTAACAAGTTTAATAACCTTCATTACCATACACCAATAATGTTTTATTGCCTTCATTCTTTCATTACGAATTTGAAGCTTCCTTACCCGCTTCAGAGTTCGACAAAGTGTCTGGAGATCATTGATCTCCTGCTGCTGTTTGAAGACCACACTGCTGGATGATTGGAGGTACGCATCCAAAGCCTGCATACAGTCCACATCGTCACTATCATCTGAAACCACATAACCAAATATTTTCATTACCACTAACATTTCTACTAAGTAAAGTAAGTGAAGCATCCAGCTACATGCCTATGAAGGCTCTTGGGGGCAGCGGAGGTATAGCTCCTACTCTTTCTTGGCCTCAGCACCAGATGGGGGTGAGTGGTCACCATCACATCCTGGCCATGCTTTACCCCTGGGAAAGGACCCCGCTACCCATTGGCCAGGAGGCTGGGTGGGCCTCTTAGCTGGTCTGGACGCAAAGGCTAGAAGAAAAATCCTCTGCCCCAACGGGGATTGAACCCCAATCGCCCAGCCCGTAGCTAGTCACTATACTGACTGAGCTATCCTGGCTCATTAACATTTCTACTAGCAAATAAAACTATGACAATTATATTCTGTTACTGCACTGAATATTTAAATCTACATTTTTAAATCATCAGTATGTAAAATGTATGATTTAATTTTAAAATTAAATTCTACTTCTCTGTGCAATGTTACAAAGGTAATTATAGACAGCATAATCCACATATGGTTCAAGCTTCCGATATGAATATTGCACTGTCCCTAATACACTGATAGGACAACACCATGTCACCATTTGTCGGCAGTAACTAAAAAGAAAAGCTGACCAGAAAAGGATGTGAATAGTTTGTTCCTAGCCAATATTCGTAACTCATGAATATATGAGTAAATAACAATACTCTTAATAGATAAAAGATAATAATAAACTGTATTTTATGTGCAATCTTTTAGAGAACCCCGCAGGACTGAGATTTTCACAGCAGTGAGTACAAAGATGGCTGTCTTCTGGGTTATAACACTGTGTAGTCCGGTAAAAGTTTATCAAAATTTCAAATGTCCTTGCTACATGGCACTACAACCCAGAAGATAGCCATATTTTAGAGAACTGTGATATTAGCCTCTATTTGGTGGTTACAAAAGTTAGGGTGATATTGTCAGTAATAAAATAAGGAATGCAAATTTTGTTGTGAAGAGCTTTAATATCAAGAAACTAAATGATGTGACAGTAAAATAACAGTATCAGATCAAATTTTGAACAGGTCTGCTGGTTTGGAAAACTTGGGCAATGTTGACATCACTAGGGCTTAGGAAAGTATTACACATAATATCAACATTTCAAAGACACTTTGTGAGTTAAATCAGCATACATCATGGTTTGACAAAGAGTACTCAAAATTATTAGATCTAAGGATGCAGATTAAATTTCAATGGCTTCAGAATTCTAGCTGAATGAATAATGTGAACAATGTAAGATTGTAAAACTAGTAGAACGTTCAAGGAAAAGGAGATAATATTTGAAATAATATTAATGAGTTTGAAACAAACAGTTATAACAAAAATCTTAGATGCCTGTACACAGGTATAAATGAATTTAAGAAGGTTTATCAATACAGCTGGCCTGATAAATGATGACAATGGTGGTCTGCTTGCAGATTCCCACAATATTTTGAATAGGTGTAAGAATTAATTTTGCGAGCTAATAAATGTACGTATTATTAACAATGTTATGTATACATCTTAGCCATTAGTACTTGAAGGGTAATAAAGTTGGAATTACTACTGAAAATCTAAAGAGGTGTAAATTAAAAGGTATAAGTCAAAACAAAACAGCAAAAAGCAATATTAACTTGTCTACAGAATGTTATTGCTGTAGGCTATGACTGACAGAAACTATAAATGTACTGGAGTAGGGAAATGTACTGACATGCATGTTGCTAATCAATCTACATCACGTGCTTGGTAATATGTCACTCTTTTGAAAATCATTCAAGACATCTTAATTACAATTAGAATATATTTTCCATACTGTTACACCACGAAATGCTGTTGAGACCCATGCTCATAATTACCAGGACTGACACCCACCCAAGTGATCTCCCTTGGCATTTCTCAGCATGGCAAGGACTCGCTGAGAGTGTAGATCCAGTTTCCCCCTTGCAGTCAACTTTTCTGCTTTCTCTTCCTCCAGCTGCTGCTCCTTAGTGCTCAATTCTTCTGTCTTCCGAACTGAGTCAGCTTTTAATCGGTTGTGGTCTTCGGTCAGAAGTCTCAGCTGGAACTCCAAGCGCTCCACCTCCTCCATTCTTTGGTCCACCTACACAACCATTCACTTGTCTTCATTAATACATAAACGAATTCTAAAAATAGCAATGCACAAAGGTGGATACTTGCTCTCACTACTTTCTTTATTTGGTCATAAGCAGGGTTAAACCTCCTTGGAAATAGTCATAAATAAGATACTTTAACACAATGTCTTAGGTCTGTTTTCTTATGAATCACAAGAAAGTAATCCTGACAGAATTACCATATAGGTTTTGTTGCATGCTTAATGTGCAGAAATGCACAGAACTATCCAAATTAGGGTTAAAAGAATAACCAAGTCAGTGAGACTGAAATAACCAATAAAAGCAAAAATATGATTTATTTGTATAACTGAAAAAAAAAATATAAGAAGGGATACCAACTTACAGTACCTTTAAAGTAGGATGAAATGGTAATCAGCTCAGTGATTACTACAGTACTGAACACAGGTGGCCAAATGACTGGTAATACCAAACATTCATAAAGCTGATGAACTGATAGCCAAAAGTACATCTGACAAACCATTACTCCTAGAAACATGGTCTAAATGAAGATAAATACTGCCATTCAGAAGCTAAAACATTATAATCTCCAGACATCTACTTAATTCCTACTAAAGTACCCAAACAGGTAGCAAAGCACTGCACTTGGACAAATGTATTAACTTATTGTCTATTCAGAAGAAGACTTATATACAAAACCTAAGCAAATAATTAGACCCTATTTATAAAACAAGAGACAAAATTAACATATTTATTTGGTGACAAATATGTAATTAAGTTGCATGTGGGTCAAAAATTGATTCCTGCAATATTATGTTATTAAGAAACAGTATACTTGCCTGTACTTCCTGATCCTGGGTCTTGATTGCATCAAGAGATCTTGGTTCTTTTACAGAAACACCTGCCAGAGCATTTTCCACATCACTGGCTGTGAGTGCTGTCTGACTGCCGGTTTCATGGTAAATGACTGTTCTACCATGATACCTTCGGCGTGGATATGGAGGAAGGCTCTTATTGAGGTTGATACCTTCCCTCTGGTGATGCTGCTTACGAAGACTTGCTGCCCTATTCAGACTTGGGTCACGGCTTACAGAATGACTCCTCACAGCTGTTTCAAAGGTGGTTTGAACCTCAGGTGACTTACACCTACGTCGACGTGGGAGAGTGGCATATTTTTCCAGTGCAGTGGCTTTACTTTCCATAAATAAATTACTTACTACAGAAGATAAACCTGAAACATTTAACTTTCGTGGCTGCCCATCAACAGTATTACCATGTGACCTAGGGGTAAGTGAATGGGACTTGCTGGCTGAGGAGGGCCAGCGACCATCATCAGTACCTCCAACAACTTTGTTTCTAATATTGCAAGTGTTTCTTGCACCTTTTCCTTTTGCTGTACCAGGAGTAGACACTGATGCAGTATCTCTCATACCTTCTGATCCAATGGACAAAGAACTGTCCTTAGATCGTATTTTTATACCACCTACTACGCTGCCACACAGAGATTTTGACATGAAAGATGATTTTGCACTGCATTCAGATGTTGTAGATCTGTGGGAACTAGATTTTATTGCACCACATGAAGCAGTCATTGTAGTTGGTACCTTTTCCCGTTTGTGGGAACTGATATTTGTGGCAGAAGGTTTGTTCACAGCACTTGTCCCCACCTTAGATGAAGGAGCTTTACTTGTAACAGGAGTCTGGCGGTGTGATGCTGTGGACTTGGGTCGTGAAAAATTCACAGGTGTAGATACCTGAGATACACTTTTTGTTTTACTAATTACAGAACTGCCATTGCTTTTTGCAACATCTGATGTGGGTGTTCTTTTATTAGCACCAGGTGTTATTCTTCTGGTGGAACTATTCTTAGGGTTACCCCTTCTAATATCCTTGCTTCCCAATGAAGAGCTTTCACTACCACCTTCACTTGTCCCATCACCATCAGCAGGCATAACTGTTGTTGTGTTGGTAACAATATCCTCTGTCTCTTCATATGCTGAGTAGCAGCTGATGAGGCTAGAGTCACAGGAAGCAGCTGGGGTAGCTGTGCTGGCTGTGAGAGAGTCTTCAAGACCTCCACAGCTACTGGTGTATCCACCACTGTTGCTACTGAAAGCCCTCAACAATGCTGGTGAAGACTCTCGTCCTCCATGCAAGGTGCATCCACTGACCTCAACTCCACTGTCACTGCCATCACCAGGTATCTTGCTGTTTCTTTCAATGGCCCTGAAATCTACATTTACAATTACTGTGCTGTTTAATATATCGACAGTATTCTCTTCTGCTTCGTTTCCCTCATTGTGTAGTGTCTCAGTATCATCATTATCAAAGAGATACATGTCCATTTCTTTGTCACTAACAACTAATTCTTCCATTGTAACTAAGTCAGTAAGGTCTATGCTATCAAGTTTATGTGAGTAATTTGTGCTGTTAACACTTTCAGTTTTAGGTTCACTATCCTTGGCTCCACTTTTAAAGCTGTGTTCTGTACCATTCAAATCTTTTAACACATGTTTCTGATCTCTGTCAATGCCAGACACATTGAAAGGCTTCTCCTTCAATTGATTCATTACATAATCAGAAATGTTCTCATTAGTGATAGTCACATCAAGGTCACAAAGTTCTTCAAAACACACTTTGTTTAATCCTATATTTTTGTCATCTCGCTGTCCACCCACATTCTCTGTATCTTTGTCGTCATCACTATCTCCTCCACTGGTCCTCCCCACTTTTCCAATACCCTGCTTCATTCCTAGGCAGATGTTCTGAAGCTGGTCCTGTAGCTGCTGACTGTCACGCTTGGCAATTGGCTTTGTTGACAATTCTTGTTCGGTACCTTCAATACACTCCATTGATTTCCACAATGCTGTGAATTTAGTCCATCATCACCTACAAAGACAACAATATGGATTGAGAGATCTGAAAGACAGCTAGGAACTGCCCGCCCCCATGTGTTTTGTGGAAGCCATGCTATCACGTAATATTATCAAATAAGTTACAGTTAAGATGCATAATATTTCTTTCTTTCATGACTCTAATTTCAGCTGGCCAAGAGGGGTGATTTAGCAAGCACATTGATGACTATAATTTAAGAGGTACTAGGCTGATGTTAGTTAAATGGAGCCTTTCTTTTTTCCTCAATCCCTGTAAGAACATTTTGTGATTCCACCATAAAATATGCCACACCATCACTCACAGAATTTTCAACCCTTCATTTGTACAATCCAGGTATTTACCTGGAAAGCTTGTGAATAAAACTGGAAAAACTTCAGCCAGGGCAAACTGTTCTCTTGTCAAAATTCGAAATGACTTCTTGAATAGAAATCAGGTGCATTACCAGTAAATGAAAACTGGCGGAATACATCCATCACGCTGGGTTCTGCAGCTTTCATTTTCAATGTTGCATGTTTGAATGCCAATGAAGGCATAGACTTTGCATGTGTGCACACTTGGTTATCATTCCATCCACTGAACTCAAGAAATAATAAACCATATCATAACTGAGTAAAACATGACAATTAGCAATAATGATCTCAGTCACAAAGGCTAATAGTGGGGAGAATGTGAAATTTAATTTGTGTAATTTGAGGTATTCACAGCGGTGAGTATGAAGATTTCTGTCTTCTGGGTTGTTGCACTGTGTAGTATGGATGAATTCATCGCCCTGATGACAGAGGCAGCATGACCTCTGAAACGCGCAACAACCCAGATGACAGAAATATTCAAATTTAATTTAGTTTATGGTTTAGTTTAGTTTATTAGATGGTTTCAAGATCTGACTGACAATGTGGTTAGAATATGGGGACACAAATTAACAAATTAAGCTGTCAATTCAATTTTTTAGCTCAAGCCTGAAAAAAATCTATACCCATTTCATCTGTGGGTGGTAGGGGGGGAGGTTTTCTGTGGTGTGATTACATAACTCAGCTTCTTGTATTCAATTCTGAAACATGTGTAAAATATCAATATATTTCTCTTACTTCCCACCACATTTTAATACTCAAAGAATGCTGCTTGATATTTTCACGATTAGACCAAAGGAGCCCAGGTTTAATGTAGTTGGTCTAGAAAAAACAAACAATTATCAGTGTCTAATAAGTACAATAATATTATGGAATCCCAATTACAAGACAGCTCTGGAGCAATTAGATCAGGTGTCTCCGAATTTTCCCATTATTCACTCCAGCACAGTTATTTACCCATTATTATAATTAAAACCATCAACAAAACTATAAATCTCACTGGAAGGTACACTATTGTTAAAATAATGTGTAAACAAATTTATGATGAATATGGTAACTTTTCTGCCTTGTGCAGTTGATACAGTTATTTCTGCTTGGATATTTCATGGCTCTGACAAAGTATACAACAAAGCAATGCAAATGCAATCACCCTAACTGTTTATGAAAGTAATCTTCTCTCAGGTTCTTAACTTGTACATAAAATTACCTTTATAATAAGTTACAAATAATGAACAGCAGACAACCTTTTATTTAGTGAGTTGTAAAAGTAAATTTTGTATTCCTTTTTGTGTATTGGTAATATGTAATATTATTAAAATAATATATTGTAAAATAAGTAATGAAAATTTCAATTTACAGTACGTACATGAACAGATCAGCTTTTTGAGATGAAAATATATAATCCAATTAAACAGCATACAGTTAAAATAGAAGTTATTTTTTAAATAATTTTTTCCCATTTCTTAGTCAATCAGTTATAACACATCCTTAATTATGTGATTGATACAGCTTTGAATCTTCTTTTTTGTGCTTAGTGATCACATACTTTTATTAACTTAGGAATTGATTTCCTAAATATTAACCACTTTTACAGACTTGCATTTAAAATATGCATTCATAAAGATGTCTGTGAAAGAAAAACAAAGCAGCCATCAGTCTAACTAACCATGGACATTTTGATGCATCGTAGCAATAGTAAAAGCACTCACCATTGGCATGGTACATTTTAGGATTCAAGAAAATTAATCCCAATGTTTTACCTACACTAGAATCAATATAGATAAAATGTATGTTTATCATATCTAAGTTCAATCATACAAAATTTTACATATTAACTTACAATGACTCATCAGCTATCAGTTTGTTATTAAATCAATATATATTCTGTGGTCTTTGACATTTATATTTTATTTAACGATGCTTTTTCAGTAGCTCAGACTATATTGTCTCGATTGCGAGTATGATAGCAAATAATCAATTGGAAAGAATGTAGAAGGAAGTGGTCATGGCTTAAATTAAGGTACTAACATGACATTTGCCTGGAGGGACTGAGGAAAAACACGAAATTCCCCAGGATATTCAGGATAACCGGTCTCCGGGCCGAGATCCAAACATGGGACTTCCCAAACACAAAGTAGTGTTAACAACTTGACCACGACATTCAGTCACATTCTTCAAGTATTTTTTATAATTTTTCTCATCATTACGCCCCACAACTACTTTGTATGCCCTTAAGATTTTTCAATGAGAAGTGGACACTTGGCTTCTATTTGCAAAGTATCTGAATCGGAGATGATGACTGTTTCAGATTTGTCTGCAGAATATTGATACTGAAGACACAACACACATGCTTGCCATTACAGTACACCTATTGAAACTTCAGATTTTGAAATATGAAGGATTTGGGATTGTCATGATGATTAGTGTGAAGATGGCTGTATTCTGAGTGAATGCTCTAATGATGGAGGCAGCAAGGGCCTCTGAAACATTGGTTAACTTCTACCAGACTACACAGTACTACAACCCAATAGACATCCATCTTAATTTAGAAGAATGTAAACTGTAAGTGCAAACTTACACTGGGCCCTACAAATAAGCACCCAGAAGCTAATGATATTGACAGGCACAGTGAGTTGTACGTACCTAGATCTTACTTTCTTTCCTCATACAATATTCGACGGTTATTTTCTATCAAACAAAAACCTTAAGAAATATTATTTATGACATTCCTGACTGAGATATAAATGATGAATAGGGTAAGTAGATTTACAAGTTACTGTTTATATAATATGCTCTATAAATCTTGAATTACTCTTTAAAGCCTGCTGGTAAATTTTGTTTACAACCTGCTTTAATACCCAGTGACTGCATTTACCCATAGTCGATTTCCAGAAGAAACAGCATTTATTTTCCTGAAGAGAAGTAACCAATTGATCTTTGAAATAGAGACATGTATTTTCTTTGGGGAGTGAATTACTAAAAATTACTGACATGGGCTTCAGCTTCAAAGGGTAATACTAAACCATTACAATTACTGCTAATTGCCTATCTGTTAATTACAGATGACAATAGTTATTAGTATAATTTATTGGCATATGGATACTTAAATAAGTAAAATCAGTCGCACATGGACGATTGCATTAGCGATACGATTCTGAATAGGGGGAAGGTGTCCGGGTATAATGCGACTGTCCAACGTCCCAGGACCCCGCTCTGAGAACTGAAAAATGTGTCTGGAGTTCGATCTTTAATTCTAAGGAGTCGGTGAGTGTGTCTGAATCAAGACACGTTGAATCCAGCAGTCAGGAGAGAATTCTTTAGTCGCTAGTAACAGAATACAGACATGCATTTCCAAAGAGAACAGGTTGAGGACCTCTGCCTTTACAAGTAGCAGACAAGGGGCAGGGTACGACAAAAAGTGAACCCACGTATGACTAGAGACAGCATCCTACACTACTCAGTCCCCAACTGCATCTTCCGAACTCGTTTCTATATATGAAGACAGAAAGTTGTGAAGTCAAGAATCAGCAGTCCTACATAGCTCGGTTAAAAGGACTCGTTAAGGGCTGAACGACCTGAGTTCAGTTCCCTGAATGAGCACACAATCTGGAACCCACTCATCCGCTGAATACCACGGTCTCTCTCTCTCGCTCTCTCGGGCATGAACTGCAGCAGCACGAAGATAGCATTCACCTTCATCTTGGACAGAAGTTGCGAATGTGTGCAACTACACGCTGTCCTCAAGAAACAATGCTTAATGCTTTGGAGCGCTGCTGTCACGCGCGTGCGCGGTGGCGGGAATTTTAAGTGTACATTCCAATTTTTGAGCAATTCTTTCGCACCCTTATACAGCGTATCAGCAGCTGAAATTTTGTGTCCAATCATTACTAGATGGGCTCTGTAGACGAGCAAAATTTCAGGTGAGGTTTCGACCTGACCAACCAGACAATTCCCTGGGAAACTTTACTTTTACCAGGCAGACATGTTAGGCTATACTGACGAGATACGTACAGCTAAAATGCATCCAAAATATCTGTTATATTCTTTGATATCCGTCACAATAATGGGGCAGTATGGATACAAGAAACTGAATAATAAAGTGTTTCTTCCACAGTCAGTGGACATTGTTGGTGATGCAATAACGCGCCAGACTTTTATTTTGGATATCAGCTGAGAAACAGAAAATCTTAACAAAGTTCTTCATATTTTCTTCAGACTCTCCAAGCGATTGTCGTGAGGGTGGGTTCAAACAGAACAAAACTGAATTCTTCAAGATTCTTCCTCTTTTATCATTCGTGATATCTTCGCTTCTCATAGCAGATGGCTAATCTCGACGTCAGTAACAGATGAGGTGGTGCCCGGATTTATAACTTGTGTTGGGCAAGGCCGTGGTCCAGGTATCACGGAGTTTTCCTCCGGGGCTTCCCCGGTTTCTCCGTGGCATCCCAACAATTACTCCATTTTCATCATCATTTACACACAGAAGAAGGCAATGGCAAACCACTTCTGGATCATTTGTCGAGGAAACATATGAACAGGTCCCTATCAGAGGGAACTTGCTCATAATGTCACCAGGGTCGGCTCCGACCCGATGGTACCAAAAAAATGAGGGTGAGCGATCAGATTCATGTTCCAGCCTTTCTACCC